GACCTTCAACTTGATTGACCCAAGTAGAGATCTAAATATGAACTTTACAGAAGTTCAGGAAGTTTGGTGGATCAGGTTGCCCATTTATAGACCAAAGTTAACCCTATTTGTGATGTGGGCTAACAGATCAGGCCTGACAAGACTGATCTAACTGAAGTCCTGTACAGCCCGCAGCAGCAGCCTGTCTCTGCCCCGTGCACAGATCTGGGGGCACGTGCCCCCCCCGGGGCTGTGCTGAGGTGCGTGCCCCCTGCACCCCTGGGCAAGCCGCCCGGGCTCCGAGCATCCCGCGACCTGCCCCTGGGGCACCATTCATCCCAGTGCCCGCCCCTTTCTCTGCTCCACACCCACCCTCAGCATGGGGGCCTTGATCTGCACCCCCATTCTCCTTCCTCTTCCCCCCTTACCTGCTGCGGTGGGCAGTACTGCACCCCTTATATGTAACTCCTTAGCTAACATATTCCAAAAATTACACAATGAACCTTGTTGCACAACTACAAGGCAACGGCATCATGCCACAAAACTCCCAAAGCCCCCTCCCCTGCCATAGGCAAAGCTGGGGGCTGAGAGCTATCGGGGCTCTACCATGGACCATGTTGAGATGTGCTCAAGAGATTTGAGGAAGAGGTCCATGCCCTCCACTAGAAATTTCAAACGAAGAAAAGTGAATTGTCAGTGCAAAGCACAACTGATTTTACAAGGACACAAACAAAGGTTTGCAAAAACTATTCAATATTTGTGCCTTAAATTTCCACTCAAAATGAAACTAAGTTGCATTTTCGAATGAGAAGGAAATGTCAGGTAGCAGGAAAACCAACATTTAAGGGTGTTTCAACATGCACGTTTCCCAAGTGGAATAACGTGGAATGCAGTCGAACTTAGAAGCTGCCTTCCATGCGCGATGAAGCAGAAGTGTCTGCAATTAGTAATTGATGGAAGTCACTCATTGTGGTGTCCTGTGACCAGTGGGGTCCCCCAAGGCTCTGTCCTTGGACCCATACTGTTCAACATCTTCATTAATGATGTGGACACTGGAGTCAGAAGCAGACTGGCCATGTTCGCTGATGACACCAAACTTTGGGGCAAAGCATCCACACCAGAAGACAGGCTCTTATTTAACCTCTTTGATTATTGCTTGCATCAGGTGACTAACTGGCTTCCTGAGTTTTAGTCTTCCTTGTTTTGACTTCATTTCCAGCCCCTCCCTCCCAAGGTGGCCTAATCTCCACCCATGTCCCCTGCCCCTTCCACAACTGCAGGTGGATCGAGTGGCTCTGAGGAAGCCATGTCTCCCAGAGGGCCCCATGCCGCCGTGCTGCTGATGTTCCTGATGCTGACCCTGATGTCTTCCCGGCCGACCGCGGACGGCAGGGAAACACAATACGCGAAGTTCCAGCGGCAGCATATCGACGAGCTGTCGCACCCGCCGTTCAGTGATGCCTACTGCAACACGAGGATGAAGAAGCAGAAGATGACCACTCCCAAGTGCAAGGACTTCAACACCTTCATTCACTCAGATTTAGCAACAGTAAAAGCTGTCTGCACACGGACTGGGACTAAGAGGCCCAACAACAGGTATTACAGCAACGACAGCTTCTCTGTCACTGACTGCAAATTTATAAGAAAGGACCCACGGCAAGGCTGCATGTACAAGGCAACCACCTTGTCCCGGAGGATTTGCATAACCTGTGAGCAAGTCCAGGGAGCTGGACTGGCACCTGTCCACTATGGCAGCTACAAATAGTGCTTCCCAAGTAGCCAGGGGTGGGGCAGGCCTTGACCCCACTGCCCACATCCAAAGTTAGCCCATGGGGCTGCTGCCCATCTCTCCCCTCTTTGGTCACGCTACTGGTTATTTCATACCTAGTATACAGAACGGCACTCCCAGCCCATCCGTTCTCCTCTTCTGGCCCCTAGTGCCCAATATACAGAACAGCATCTCCCCTCCCCGCCCAAATCCAGAGGCAGCAGGAACGTGCAGCCAATCCTCCAGCATCCTGATGAGGAGTCCTCAAAGCTGTGACAGAGTTAAACCTTCCAGCTGCTTTTTGCAATAAACAGCTGCAACTGCAAACTGGCCTGGATACTCTCTCTGTGTGGGTGGGTGGGTGTGGGTGGAGAACGGCAGGGGTTTGGCTCACAAGAATTCATTTCTCTTCCCAAGAGGTGGAAAAGGGGGTGTTTCTCACACTGGGGGTTTCCCCTTCCCTGCAGGCACAAGGGAAGGCTTAGCCTAACACTTCCTGCTGCCCTTGATGCCTCTTGAGTCGACCTTGCTCAGCAGGCTCCATTCCACATCTCCACCCAGCTCCTCGACCACCTTGCTCCAGAACTTGGCCAAGGAAACCTTGCAGTCCCTCTTGCTACAGAGAGATTTCCTGCTCTGTGCTTTTCCCTGGTCCCCATGGCTATGACTCCTGAGCGTGAAGTTTCTTCCTGTGCAGTATTGAGGTGGGCTTCCCCTTCACCTGTAGCTAGCAGGGTGGACAGAGGGGACGTAGGTGTTCAGGGTGATTATGGGTGCCAAGCAGCAGTACCTGCATGTGAGATCTGGGAAACAGGCATG